CCAAACTCAGTTAAGGTCTGCCCATCCTGAAATTTTTGATTCCTGAACTTTTGTCTATATTTCTCAGGTATCATTTGGTATGCAAGCAATACTTCCTCTTTAATCTTATCATAATCAGAAAAATCTTGCCCCTCCAGAGTCTCTACTCTCTGGAATCCTTTACCCACAAGTTGTGTGCGAACTAGGGTAGCCCACTTCTGTTTGGGCCATCCTTGCTCCAAAGCAATCTTCTCAAAAAAAGAAAAATATCTATCTGGGTCACTCTCTGTAAACTTAGGGACAAATTTTGCAGCTTTAGTTATGTTAAAGTACTGCTCAGGCTCTTGTTCTGAACCTCCTAACCTCTGACATTCTTCTTCCTTAGCTTTCATTAAATTCATCTGAGCCTCTAGTACTGCTAATTTAAGTCTCATTCTTTCCATTTCCATATCATCTGGAGTAGGTGATCCCTCATGTTCACTGTTAACAGGCATGTTTACTGATGAATTATTACCTTCCTCCCTGAAGCATGAGAAGTTGAAAGACTCAACTTCTGACATAGCTTTATCTTTAAACACTTGCTTCCCTCTTACAGTATCAGTGGACAAAGTTTTCCCACAGGCACATAAAATAACACAAATTGAATGTAAACTATGCACATAGCACTTACCATAACCACAACAAAAATGTGTTACTCAACCTTTCTCCCACCTTAGGAGAAAAACAACCTGTAAACTAATATATGAAAACAACACTTCCACTGACACCACCTTGGTAAATCTTCTACCAGAAACATGCAACTGTTATTACCCCATACCAGCACATATAGTTCAAAGAATGTTTTGAGTTATTTTAGCAGTCAAATAACTCTCCCGGTCAAGCTCCCATGTTACGTTGGTTGTCCCTTATTACTTTCATAGTAAGGTTCTCACTACATGTTCTAGTGTGGGGTAGCTTTTTACTTAATGGCCTTATCTGTCTAGGGGTAATACTTACATCATGGCTGATCATCTTGAGTGTCTGATATCCTCTCACCAGCCCTCTTCACAGGTTATGTAAACTACTACTATAAAAATATAACTGTATTCTCAATAGACATGTACAGAATATACAATTACAGCCTCACACTTTAAAAACAAAGATCTACACACTCCATAGCTGTTCTCCCACATGGTGTATCTTATTAACTTTTGTCCTCTCTCTTCTTGACATAACTCTGGGCTAACCAGTGTTTGACACACTTTAGTCACCCTGGGTATGGTGGCCACAACTTAAATTATAAAAACTCAACCCTGGAGCACACATACTGCCCCAAAAGATAGAAGAAGGACCCAGAGATCCTGCCAGGTTGAAGGTCAGCCACAGAGAGAGAGCCTCAGTGAGAGGGAGAGAGAGAAAGACTAGCTAAGCTCCTCCCACCAAAACAAAAGACTGTTGCCAAGCACAATTCTCCAGTTACCACAATTCTACCACCCTTAATTTTACTTTTACAAAAAGAAATACAACTTTATAAACTACTTATTTAAATTGTGTGTTTGTGTCTATAGTATAACCTATTACATTGAGAAAAATAGGCTTGACCCAGCTGCCTCTCAGTCATAAGGTTGATCAGCCCTTATGACATTTAGAACTGAGTCCCCATCAATTCAATATAATTAGGTATTCCAGAGTAACTGTTACTTATAAATACATGTTGGGTCCTATAGCCCTATAACAATCCATACTCTGTTTTTAACTGACAAATCCATTCGTTCTCTAGGCTTTCTTAACCCTTTGAGGGTCGGCAGGCCCTCTCTGAGACTTGTTCTCAGGGTCGGTCAAATTTAAAAAAAAAAATGTTTTTTTCTTATGAAAAGATAGAGAATCTTTTCTCGATCATAATGACACCAAAAGTATGAAATTTGATGGAAAAGTTACGGAATTATGCTCTCGCGAAGTTAGCGGTCTCGACGATGTTTACGCATCGGCAATTTTGCCCACTTTGAGCCCTATTTTCAGCCAATTCCAGTGTACTAGTTGACAAAAATCATAACTATTTCTCCAGAACTCCATTTTTTCTATTGAATGAGTACAAGAAACCACCCAATTATTGATTTCAACTATCCAATACAGTGGTCAGAATTTAGCAAATCTGCGAATTTCACACAAATTTCAAAAGATGCCAATTTCCAAATAGGGTCCAGAATAAAAAAGAAAGACATTCCTGGCACTAAAATAACATTTCCTCTGTTCGTTAGTCACATCCCCAGGCCCCTCTTACATTTCTTTGGCTTTCCACTTTCAATTTTTATTCTTACAAAAAATAGGAGATTTACTGTTATGCAGACTGATGCATTAGTGTAGAAATGGTATAAATAATATCAGCGCACTTGTGAAAGAATATTAGGCGCTTGGCATGATTTGTTTACTTTTGAACTTTGATAAAAATCAAACATTTCTGCTACTTTGAGCTCAATTTCAAGGGTACTTTTCATTGTAAAACCAGTCAAAATCATCTCACTTTCTGTAATATGTCTTCCATTCTATAAAATGAGACCAAGAAAACTAGAATACAACAATAAATACCATATGAAAATACAGTGCAAAGTCGCTGTTTTATTCCAAAAACACGGTCAAAATTTTTTTTTTCTCATTATGCACTGTGTGCTGCAGGATTTTTTTTTATACTGCATGCACTGACCACATAGACCCATTCTTTCATATGTATGCCTACCAACTTTCTCCCACTAGATTTGAGGGCGCTAGAATTTAGGCGTATTAGTACGTCAAAAACCCTGGGTCGTAAGCCGTACTAGTACGGCCGAAACCCTCAGAGGGTTAATTTGTTTAACTCACTCCAAAATTTTTTTTTATTTTCATTAAAATTCCTCGACAGTGCCTTTCCCACTCTATCATCTGCTCTCCTTTTGCACTCTCTCACCACTCTCTTCACCTTTCTTTTACTCTCCATATACTCTACTCTTCTTATAACACTTCTGCTTTGTAAAAACTTCTCATAAGCTAACTTTTTCTCTTTTATCACACCCTTTACTTCATCATTCCACCAATCACTCCTCATTCCTTCTGCACCCACCCTCCTATAACCACAAACTTTTGCCCCACATTCTAATACTGTATTTTTAAAACTATTCCAACCCTCTTCAACCCCCCACTACTCATACTTGCACCAGCCCACCTTTCTGCCAATAGTTGCTTATATCTCACCTGAACTTCCTCCTCCCTTAGTTTATACACTTTCACCTCCCTCTTGCTTGTTGTTGCCATTTTCCTCTTTTCCCATCTACCTCTTACTCTAACTGTAGCTACAACTACATAATGATCCGATATATCAGTTGCCCTTCTATAAACGTGTACATCCTGGAGCCTACCCATCAACCTTTTATCCACCAATACATAATCTAACAAACTACTTTCATTACGTGCTATATCATACCTTGTATATTTATTTATCCTCTTCTTCATAAAATATGTATCACTTATTACTAAACCTCTTTCTACACATAGCTCAATTAAAGGCTTCCCATTTTCATTTACCCCTGGCACCCCAAATTTACCTTCTACTCCCTCTACAACATTTTTGCCCACTTTAGCATTAAAATCCCCAACCACCATTACTCTCACACTTGGTTCAAAACTCCCCACGCATTCACTCAACATTTCCCAAAATCTCTCTCCTCTGCACTTCTCTCTTCTCCAAGTGCATATACACTTACTATAACCCACTTTTCACATCCAACCTTTATTTACTCCACATAATCCTTGAATTAATACATTTATAGTCCCTCTTTTCCTGCCATAGCTTATCCTTCAACATTATTGCTACTGCTTCTTTAGCTCTAACTCGATTTGAAACCCCTGACCTAATCCCATTTATTCCTCTCCACTGAAACTCTCCCACCCCCTTCAGCTTTGTTTCACTTAAAGCCAAGACATCTAGCTTCATCTCATTCATAACATCCACAATCATCTCTTTCTTATCATTTGCACAACATCCACGCACATTCAGACTTCCCACTTTGACAATTTTCTTCTTATTATTCTTTTTAGTAATTTTTACAGGAAAAGGGGTTACTAGCCCATTGTTCCCAGCATTTTAGTTGACTTTTACAACACACATGGCTTATGGAGGAAAGATTCTTATTCCACTTCCCCATGGATATAAAAGGAAAAGTAATAAGACCAAGAACTATTAAGATAAAATCAAAGAAAACTCAGATGAGTGTGTATAAATAAACATATATATTTAGTGTGACCTAAGTGTAAGCAGAAGTAGCAAGACGTACCTGTAATCTTGCATATTTATGAGACAGACAAATTCATGTCTTGTATACTTATTTATCCTCTTTCTCATAAAGTATGTATTACTTATTACCAAACCTTTTTCTACACATAGTTCAATTAAAGGCTTCCCATTTTCATTTACTCTTGGGACTCCAGACTTACATACTACTCCCTCTACAACATTTTTACCCACTTTAGCATTCAGATCCCCAACCACAAGTACCCTCTCACTTGGTTCAAAACTCCCCACACACTCACTCAACATTTCATTCATCTTATCAGTCACAGTTTGTTGTATGATAACACTTCTTTGTTTGAGGTTGTGTAATTGGTACTACTGCATTAGTGATGAACATGTCCAGACCTTTTGTCAGCCAAGCCTGACAGTTACAATAGTTTCCAGTAAGAAAATTGAAAAAGAATTGTAAGTAAATAATGGAAAGACAAAAACAAGATGAGCAAATGTACTTTTTTTTTTTTTTAATCCTTGTCTATCACATGTTTTGCATTGATCAAGAGAAGGTTACTCTGCAATACCAGTAATACAAAAAAAAATAATTATCTTCAAATTTTGGCCACTATGTCTTGGACCACACTATAATCAAATTCACAAGTAATCCAAAAGTGTTCATACTAAATAGTACTGTACTGTATGTACATTATGTAGTTTTTCTTTTGTGTTCATTTTTATTGCATTACAGGGTACTAACAAATTAAACAGACCATTACTTCTTTCTCAGGGTTCTGCTGTGGATACCTGATATATTTATGTAAAAATCTTAGTATATACTTGCCAAGATTTAGCCAGCGATTGTGGCTGATGCTCCTGTTGCCTCCTCTTTACTGCCTCACACTATTGAGGCATCTTAATAAGCTGGCCATTTTCAGGTAAATTACTGTCTCTAACATTGTTCTCTAGCAACTTATACAATTTTCCTGGAAGTTCAATATACATTGCTATATAATAATTTATTGATTTTTTTTATGAAACATCACAAGGACACACATACTGTAGTTATATGTATATTGAGATACATGAATGGAATATTAACATTAGAGACAATTATACAGTACAGATTTAAAGTCCTGAAATCATGTGGACTAGGATTGTGAGAAAATATAAGAATTGTGTAGATCAAGTGTTTACATTGAAGCATATATGTGAACAGTATTTAGATAAAGGTAGGGAAGTTTTTATTGCATTTATGGATTTAGAAAAGGCATATGATAGAGTGGATAGAGGAGCAATGTGGCAGATGTTGCAAGTATATGGAATAGGTGGTAAGTTACTAAATGCTGTAAAGAGCTTTTATGAGGATAGTGAGGCTCAGGTTAGGGTGTGTAGAAGAGAGGGAGAATACTTCCCGGTAAAAGTAGGTCTTAGACAGGGATGTGTAATGTCACCATGGTTGTTTAATATATTTATAGATGGGGTTGCAAAAGAAGTAAATGCTAGGGTGTTCAGGAGAGGGGTGGGATTAAATTATGGGGAATCAAATTCAAAATGGGAAGTGACACAGTTACTTTTTGCTGATGATACTGTGCTTATGGAAGATTCTAAAGAAAAATTACAAAGGTTAGTGGATGAGTTTGAGAATGTGTGTAAAGGTAGAAAGTTGAAAGTGAACATAGAAAAGATAAGGTGATGAGGGTATCAAATGATTTAGATAAAGAAAAATTGGATATCAAATTGGGGAGGAGGAGTATGGAAGAAGTGAATGTTTTCAGATACTTGGGAGTTGACGTGTCAGCTGATGGATTTATGAAGGATGAGGTTAATCATAGAATTGATGAGGGAGAAAAGGTGAGTGGTGCATTGAGGTATATGTGGAGTCAAAAAACGTTATCTATGGAGGCAAAGAAGGGAATGTATGAAAGTATAGTAGTACCAGCACTCTTATATGGATGTGAAGCTTGGGTGGTAAATGCAGCAGCGAGGAGACGGTTGGAGGCAGTGGAGATGTCCTGTCTAAGGGCAATGTGTGGTGTAAATATTATGCAGAAAATTCGGAGTGTGGAAATTAGGAGAAGGTGTGGAGTTAATAAAAGCATTAGTCAGAGGGCAGAAGAGGGGTTGTTGAGGTGGTTTGGTCATTTAGAGAGAATGGATCAAAGTAGAATGACATGGAAAGCATATAAATCTATAAGGGAAGGAAGGAGGGGTAGGGGTCGTCCTCGAAAGGGTTGGAAAGAGGGGGTAAAGGAGGTTTTGTGGGCTAGGGGCTTGGACTTCCAGCAAGCGTGCATGAGTGTGTTAGATAGGAGTGAATGGAGGCGAATGATACTTGGGACCTGACGATCTGTTGGAGTGTGAGCAGGGTATATTTAGTGAAGGGATTCAGGGAAACCGGTTGTGTTCATATAGTCGGACTTGAGTCCTGGAAATGTGAAGTACAATGCCTGCACTTTAAAGGAGGGGTTTGGGATATTGGCAGTTTGGAGGGATATGTTGTGTATCTTTATACGTATATGCTTCTAAACTGTTGTGTTCTGAGCACCTCTGCAAAAGCAGTGATAATGTGTGAGTGTGGTGAAAGTGTTGAATGATGATGAAAGTATTTTCTTTTTGGGGATTTTCTTTCTTTTTTGGGTCACCCTGCCTCGGTGGGAGACGGCCGACTTGTTGAAAAAAAAAAAAATGTGTAATCTTGGTAAATATTTTTAAAAATAATACACTCCCTTGTCATAACACTGATAGGTATATGTTTATCCCAGCACCCTAGGTATTTATTTAATATACCAAAAATGTAAAATATACACACATTCCAGTAATATCTTTGTGTTTTCATGGAAATGTAATATTTATATGAAAATGTATTTTTCATGAAGACAAGTTGCTCAGTATTTATTAATACATTTTTTCTGTTTCCAGCTTATTTGCACAGGTGTCAAATGTGCTTGCTTTGACTGTAGTATTTTGGTTTGATTTCTCTCATTCAGAGGAGGTACCATTTACTCTCCGAAAGAATTTTCCATCAAGGGATTTCCGTTCTTCTTTGCCGTTGCCATCTACTGTTACGAGGTATGGTCAGAATAGTGATGCAAGGCTTTTACTGTAATAAATATTTACTTATAAAGTTTGAGTCTACCTACACTGGGATTACAGAGGCATTGAACATACAGTGATCCTTCAATATAATGGACTTTTAAAATTGAGAACAAAATCCATTGGTTAAATTGTACTTTTAACTTGCTTATTTTCACTGTTTATTGCAGTACAGGAGGGCATCACTTATATGGCAGGTTGAATTCTAGGCTACCACCGTAAAGCAGAAATCACTGTGAAATGAATCACACTTTTTCCCACTTATAAATGCACATAAATGCTTCATAACATGTTTACACTATCATATATGGTAGGGCCCTATTGTATGATGTTTCACCTTACAGTGTTTGGTTAATATGGACATTTCAAATTATGACCAAAACTTGCTATGTAGCTTCCCCCACCTGACTTTCTAATAGTCACCACGTGCCACCCAGTTTGTTTACGTTCTCCATGAGCATGTCTCCATTATGTCTGGAAACTTTCCAAAATTTCAAATGTTTTAAAGTTATTGCTTATTTTATATGTACACACTGATAATTATACCTATGTATACCTGTACCTAAATAAACTTACACACTGTGCTGGCATGCAAGTACACATTAAAATCACTAAGAGTGTCCTTCTAGTCTTGACACCCTAGTAATAATAATAATAATACTAATTTTTTTTTTTTTTCAACAAGTCGGCCGTCTCCCACCGAGGCAGGGTGACCCAAAAAAGAAAGAAAATCCCCAAAAAGAAAATACTTTCATCATCATTCAACACTTTCACCACACTCGCACATTATCACTGTTTTTGCAGAGGTGCTCAGAATACAACAGTCTAGAAGCATACACATATAAAGATACACAACATATCCCTCCAAACTGCCAATATCCCAAACCCCTCCTTTAAAGTGCAGGCATTGTACTTCCCATTTCCAGGACTCAAGTCTGACTATATGAAAATAACCGGTTTCCCTGAATCCCTTCACTAAATTTACCCTGCTCACACTCCAACAGATCGTCAGGTCCCAAGTACCATTCGTCTCCATTCACTCCTATCTAACACGCTCACGCACGCTTGCTGGAAGTCCAAGCCCCTTACCCACAAAACCTCCTTTACCCCCTCTCTCCAACCCTTTCGAGGACGACCCCTACCCCGCCTTCCTTCCCCTATAGATTTATATGCTTTCCATGTCATTCTACTTTGATCCATTCTCTCTAAATGACCAAACCACCTCAACAACCCCTCTTCTGCCCTCTGACTAATACTTTTATTAACTCCACACCTTCTCCTAATTTCCACACTCCGAATTTTCTGCATAATATTTACACCACACATTGCCCTTAAACAGGACATCTCCACTGCCTCCAACCGTCTCCTCGCTGCTGCATTTACCACCCAAGCTTCACACCCATATAAGAGTGTTGGTACTACTATACTTTCATACATTCCCTTCTTTGCCTCCATAGATAACATTTTTTGACTCCACATATACCTCAATGCACCACTCACCTTTTTTCCCTCATCAATTCTATGATTAACCTCATCCTTCATAAATCCATCCGCCGACACGTCAACTCCCAAGCATCTGAAAACATTCACTTCTTCCATACTCCTCCTCCCCAATTTGATATCCAATTTTCTTTATCTAAATCATTTGACACCCTCATCACCTTACTCTTTTCTATGTTCACTTTCAACTTTCTACCTTTACACACATTCCCAAACTCATCCACTAACCTTTGCAATTTTTCTTTAGAATCTCCCATAAGCACAGTATCATCAGCTAAAAGTAACTGTGTCAATTCCCATTTTGAATTTGATTCCCCATAATTTAATCCCACCCCTCTCCCAAACACCCTAGCATTTACTTCCTTTACAACCCCATCTATAAATATATTAAACAACCATGGTGACATTACACATCCCTGTCTAAGACCTACTATTACCGGGAAGTAGTCTCCCTCTCTTCTACACACCCTAACCTGAGCCTCACTATCCTCATAAAAACTCTTTACAGCATTTAATAACTTACCACCTATTCCATATACTTGCAACATCTGCCACATTGCTCCTCTATCCACTCTATCATATGCCTTTTCTAAATCCATAAATGCAATAAAAACTTCCCTATCTTTATCTAAATACTGTTCACATATATGCTTCAATGTAAACACCTGATCTACACATCCCCTACCCACTCTAAAACCTCCTTGCTCATCCGCAATCCTACATTCTGCCCTTACCTCTAATTCTTTCAATTATAACCCTACCGTACACTTTTCCTGGTATACTCAGTAAGCTTATTCCTCTATAATTTTTACAGTCTCTTTTGTCCCCTTTCCCTTTATATAAAGGGACTATACATGCTCTCTGCCAATCCCTAGGTACCTTCTCCTCTTTCATACATTTATTAAACAAAAGTACCAACCACTCCAACACTATATCCCCCCCTGCTTTAACATTTCTGTCATGATCCCATCAGTTCCAGCTGCTTTACCCCCTTTCATTTTACGTAATGCCTCACGTACCTCCCCCACACTTACATTCTGCTCTTCTTCACTCCTAAAAGATAGTATACCTCCCTGACCAGTGCATGAAATTACTGCCTCTGTTTCTTCCTTAACATTTAAAAGTTCCTCAAAATATTCTCGCCATCTACCCAATACCTCCATCTCCCCATCTACTAACTCCCCTACTCTGTTTTTAACTGACAAATCCATATTTTCCCTAGGCTTTCTTAACTTGTTTAACTCACTCCAAAATTTTTTCTTATTTTCATTAAAATTTCTTGACAGTGCCTCTCCCACTCTATCATCTGCTCTCCTTTTGCACTCTCTCACCACTCTCTTTACCTTTCTTTTACTCTCCATATACTCTGCTCTTCTTATAACACTTCTGCTTTGTAAAAACCTCTCATAAGCTACCTTTTTCTCTTTTATCACACCCTTTACTTCATCATTCCACCAATCACTCCTCTTTCCTCCTGCCCCCACCCTCCTATAACCACAAACTTCTGCCCCACATACTAATACGTAATAATAATAATCACTCTTGGGCACGTTAAATGTCTTATTTTACATACAAATGTCTTATTAATATATACATTTTTATTAATCCATCTATAATATTTTCTTCAAAATTATATAAGAAACATGTTACATAGCATATAAACATGATACATATACCAACAGTACAATAAATTTCACTTAAATATGAGGTATGGTAGCCAGGCGGAGGGAAAACATTCCGTTTTCTTTGGTCCAACACCAGAGAAAATGTGAATCAGTGCGCTTTTGATCCAGTCTCTACCCTTAACACATTCAGCTTTGTTTACAATTCTCAGTATGACTTCTCATCACTTCTCCCTTTATGATGGCATCTAAAGGTAGTTGTTAGAAATGATTAAAGTCAGTGTGAACAAGGTATGTTGATAGTAATAATATCACTCTGTTGTAGCTGGTGTAGGGGGGCTTCCTCCTACCTACACCTACCGGCTACGTACACCTACCGGCTACGTACACCTACCGGCTACCTGCACCTACGAGCTACCTGCACCTACCAGCTGTTTTCTAATGTTTGTTTTCTAATGCCTAGTTCTACTGTTAGGTTAATATATGTTAGTGTAAACTTGTTATGTGGTATTTGTTTGCATTTGTAAGTGAAAGAAATGGCATTCTGCTTTCCGGCGATGTCCACTTTCCGGCAGTAGCCTGGAACCTAACCTGCCGTATAAGTGGGGCCCTACTGTATTAAGTTAGCGACAGAACTATACAGTGGACCCCCGCATAACGATCACCTCCGAATGCGACCAATTATGTAAGTGTATTTATGTAAGTGCGTTTGTTCGTGTATGTTTGGGGCTGTGAAATGGACTAATCTGCTTCACAATATTCCTTATGGGAACAAATTCGGTCAGTACTGGCTCCTGAACATACTTCTGGAGTGAAAAAATATCGTTAACCGGGGGTCCACTGTATATATAAAAAAAAAACAATAAAAAGTAAAATGCACATGAAGTACACTCATTACTTACCTTTAAATATTTCTAGTCTTAATGTAGGGTGAGAGGTTAGTAGTGTTATTGTAGGAAGCCAGGTGTGGTAGCTCACCTGGCTACCACACCTACACAAAATATACTACATTTAAAGTGCCCTAGAGTGATTACCATTATTATTACCTTCAATATAACTTGTTCACTGCCATTTCAAACGAGAGAGAATGAGTAAATAAGACACCGAGAATGTAAACAAACAAATGAACACATATTAATTCCTGTCTGCTTACAGTTCATACACATGCATTTCACTTATATTTGTGAAGCTTTTACCCCACAATACAAACACCTTACATTGTGTACAAGTTGTCACATTGATGCAGTAGAGTAAATAAACAGCAACACTCCCATTCTCATGCAATACACCATTTTTTGCGAATGATGCTATGAGTGAGGGCATACAAAAGGAATAATTTTATTCAGTTGCCCCCAGTAATACTATAATGCACACAATTTCTCAGGTGTTAGACTACAGACAACGTGATTCTATTCATCATTTCTACAAGCCACCCGGCTACTATATCACATAGTTGTCATTTTGTTCTACTGTATGTATATATATTATGTTTATATGTTATGTAACATGTTTCTTATATAATTTTGAAAAAAAAATGTCATTGATGGATTAATGAAAATGTCTATATTAATGTAATATATGACTTCTAATGCTCCTGAGTGATTATTATTATTGTATCAACAGTAGCGAGACACACTTTGTGATTTTAATGTGTACCTGCATGCCAGCAAAGTATGTAAGTTTATTTAGGCATGCATACACAAGTACAGTTATCAGGGATTATATAAAGTATGCAGTAACTTTAAAACATTTGAAGTTTTGGAAAGTTTCCAGACATACTTGAGAGAAACGAGCTCATGAAGGATGTAAACAGGGTGGCTCTCAGACACTGTAATAGCGAATCAGGGAGGGAGC